CCGCTGCCCCCCCACATTGTCATCCTCACATCCTGTTCTCCTTTAACTCTCCATTGTTCTCTGTAAATAAGGGGCATTTTAATGCCCTGAGAAGGGGAATGCCACCTGCACAGTGCCCTCACACCCACGGCAGCGGCCAATAGCTCGGCACGCGACTGGAAGGAATGCCTGGTGATAGATTTTTTCCCCAAAAGCCGTACTCTCTCAGAAAAAATGGTACATACGAAAGGTACAAACAGCATTAATGTACCTCCAACGGTACAAAAATGTTCCTCAGAGTCCATTTCTGTACCTTAAAAGGCACATTTACCTACAGATAGGGTACAATTGCCAGACCCTTGAGGATACAGCGAGTGACAAGTAATTGTACCCTCAAAGGTACAAATTGGTACTTTTTTCTGACAGTGTAGCTGAGGTGTGGCAGTGTGACTGACAGCAAACGCAGGTTAGCTAACAGATTTACGTCCCTGCAGTCAGCCTGAAGGGTCTTTGACCTTTTTAATGAAAGAGCAGAATTTTCATTCTCTTTCCAGAAGACCTTCATAAACATCAAATAATTAGGTATAAAGCTCATTTCTGGAGGTCCCGTGTTGTCCAAATGCCCAGCGTAGGAAGTTTATGTACTGGCGAGCAACCATTGTTAATTCAGGAGAGAGAGAGAAATCCCCATCTCCCTTCCTTCACTGATGCATATTTGTTTGCCGTGACACACACCCTGGCAGAAAAGTACCCCGAACACTGTAGCGACAGGGCAGGAATTCATGATAACTGTGGTCTTGCAATGACCTCATACACTGAGATAGTGAAAAAAGAACCTTGGATCCCACTTAAACGATATGAGGGAAGTCCCACATTGTTTTTTTTATATATACAGTGGTTGAGCAGTTAATCCAATGTAGAGTCAACACTGTTGGAGCAAAGCGGAGGCCTGAGCTTGGGGGGCTTGGAGGAGCAGGGAGGGGGCGTGGGGCAGGATATAAATGCACTTAGGCTGTAAATTGCTCAGCTAATCCAATCTGAGCCAAGTAGCCAGCTGGCAGATTTAAATCGACTTCCTTGTCTCGGCCCTGTGGAGGGGGGACGTCTCGTACAGCCCAAGATACGTCTTCCCAGGACATGAGCATCGGCGGACCGATCCCAAAGCTCACCCCCCGCACACTCAGATCAGGGTCAAACTGTAGTCAGAATCAATGACCGCATCTGTGACCACAAGAGCGTGTTGTGTGTGTGCACACGCGTGTGTGTGTGAGTGAGTGAGCACACCACCCCAGGCCAGTACAAAGGCCATCTGGGAAGGGGTGGGGGCAGTCTCCCAGCTGGACCTGACTGAGCTGGGACAGAAGATGGGCCGACTGCCTGGCAGTGGGGGTGTTTGTGGGCCCCATCACCATGACCCCTGCCTTCAGATGCGGGGCACTGGCTGAGCGTCAGCCTTTTGATGTGATTTCTTTCTCCAGCCGCATTAAGTGTGTCCCCCCGCCCCTCCCTCCCAAGCTCAGCCAAACCTTCACCAGCGGCCTTTAGTCCAGCCAGAGCCACAGATGCTGGAGCTACATGGAAATATTTGATTGGAGAACTGAGTTGAAATGTATGCGATTTCGGCAAAGGCCAGCGAACAGAAAACATCAGCATTAGGGGTGCCGACCCCTCACTAAGTGGACCATGAGATGACCATCGAAGTGATCCCTGCTTTTCCGAACCCGGGACTGGTGCATTAGTGTAACCCCATACACGGGAATTCCAGCTATTTCAAAATGGATTCCTGCCTCGAGAGAAATCAGCAAACAATGAGATCCCTGAGGCTGAAAGGCGAAGAAAGCACAGGGATCCCTTACACTCTGAGGTCACGTCGTGAGGTCGTATGTCCAGTTAGGCTGAAGTCAATGTCATCAAATTCTCATGCATTTAAATGTCTTTCAAAAGACACACCCAGAAATGTCTGTGAAAGCTGGAGCCATGAAGTACAAAGGAGATTTACTGGACATGCGATCAGGGCTGGTATCACCTAAAGTAACGGTCCAAACTATACCTTCCCTAGGGAGACATCAAAGTCTCATTCATATTCGTAAATAAAGCGCAATGGCCGATTTCAGAGGTGCTATTTAACTGGGAAATATGATATGAAACCAGGCCTGGAAGAAGGGGATTCTGAGGTTAGAGTTTTGGGGGTTCCCACATCTCCCCAAACAGTGTCATGTACTCACTTAAAGAATTCAATAGAACTTAAGTGGTCCTTTTTATGTTTATACCTGGAGAGCAGCTTTTGAGTACATCTATTGCCCTGTCCTTAGGACAGTTTCTGCTGGTCACTGAATACACTATACCATCTTTGTGGATAAGCGTTATGCCGGAGTGATGTTATTAACCAGGCGGAATGCCTCGCACAGGTCAGGAGTTTACACTGCTTTGAATCCTGATGGAAATTGATATTTCTCCTGGATAACTTTGGCATGAATCACAAAGAACGCCACTTTAAAAACCCTCAGTGTTTCAATACAAGCTCGATACTTGTGTGTCCACAAGAAAATAAATCCCTAGTAAAATAATTACAGATATTCTGTGATCATCCTTGTGTATCTCTGAATGCGTCCCGTTCATTAGACTATATGTGCTGTTTTCAGATGATACGCCTCAATGGAAATTTCTGTCCTATGTTTTCAATCACAGAGATAGAGACAGGAAATATTGTGAAATATCACATTTCATCACTTACCATATAGGTGAGTACAAGCTAGGTAGTTTTAATCACAAAAATGTATGTTTAACTAAAGTATATATAGTCAGATGATCTGGTTATCTTTTTATGACAAGCAAAGTTAGCTTTACCACAGATTATAAAAATGGTAATGTTTATGGTGTGAGAATAGTCATGCATTGCGACATGCCTAATCCAACTGGAAAAACCGAAGATACTTGACCACCCTTAAATACACAGAAGTTCAATGACTTAAGAGGACAACACCTAAGGCTTACATCTGCATTAACATCAATTAGACACGTGGCCCAGCAAGTTTAAAGCACCTATAAAAGGAGGAGTCATTAAGCACCTATAAAAGGAGCATAAACTACAGAAATGGATAGGCAGTGTGGCTCATGTCTAAAACAAACCCCTATATCACAGTTGCCACACAGTAATGCTGTAAGTTACGTTTTGTACTACAGGTTTATGGTAGAATGAGGTAGTTTGATTATGTGTTGCCAGGAATCAGTACTAGTGTAGGAACCAAGATTATTGCTGTTATGGTGTCATTGAAACTTGAGATAATAATTCAACAAGATCAGCCATTTCCCACCACTATCACTGGTTTGAACTTTCGTTTTGTTTATAAAACAAGCTTATGAATGTACTTTTGTGTACTTTTAGTCAGCTGTTTGGGCAGCTTAATATGCCCTGGGCGACTCCCTCCATTACAAAATATCAGATGGAGATTTACGCATATCACAGATTGTCTTCCGGTAAAGTTTTAAACCTTACAGTAGTTCCTTCATACCGAAATCCGCCTCCTTGACAGTCATTAGTTTACGCTTTGAACAATGTATTAATCCATATTTCACAACGGAATATGTCATTATTAATATATTAATCACGGATACGGTGTCATTTTTAATGCAGCTTTTAATACCACGAGTTTGGATAACGCATATAAATCAATACAATTCACATAATTCCGGTGCTATTATAGCAAATACTGATCTTTGCCAATCATTTTAAAATAATCATAACAGTAAATGGAAAACGTTCCAGCGTCGAAGCCGTTTTTGTCTTAGATCAAGACAATCAAGTGTCTGCGAAAAGCCTCGATCTTAAACAATAAGACGGTAACGGTTAATGTTAAGGCAAGTATAAATGTGCAAAAACAAGGTGGATCAAACCAAAGGCAATATAATACGAGTTTGGAGTCCTGAGGATGAGGGCAAGAGCAGCCGGTTCACCTGCACCAGGCGCAGACGGCGAAACTTCACAAGCGCCACGCCTTCGAGCCGCAGCCTTTCTCGGCCTTTGTCGTCTACAAAGCCCGTTAACAATGCCGGTCCCCCAGATCTGTACACAAAGGCACAGTCCCGTAATTGTCGCCGCAGGAACACCCATTTAACTGAATGGTTAAGGAAGGTGGATCTGACCCAAAACATTAGTAGCAAGCCAAGAACGGTTTCGCAAGGCGATCGTGTATTTAAAAAGTGTACTGTCGTATTTTAAAATATGTTTTGACAGCGCGTGTGCAAATTTAATTACGGTGTAAAGTAGGTCGACAACAAAAAGTGTAGCTTTTCCACAAGTGGCAGCAAAATGCAATAAATGGGGAAGTCGCAGCGTGAACCGGTCGCTGTTTTAGCAGGAGCATATCAGCTACACAGAAAATGGGGCGGGGGTCGCTGCAGCCTGCGTCTTAAGCCCCCCACCCCCTTCTTTCAGCTCCGTTAAACTGTGTCTGCAGTCACGAATCTGAGCGCAGGCCCATTGAAAGATCCAGGGAGGTCTCTGGTATTTTTCATTTCATCGGCAATGTCCTAATAATTCTGCCCGGTTTTAAAAGAAAGCTAGTTTTAATTATCCAACAGGCCGTGCGAACAAGGTTGGATCTCAATACGACATAAGACCCCATCCTGTTTAGTAACATATAGGATATGTTGCAAGCTGTTAGCCACATCAGGGTGCACCTGTAACAGTATAGTACTGTACCCTTATTACTGTATGGTTTCTCAAACATATTTGTGTTGCTAACTCGATCGGCTAACAGGCTCTGCTAGGAGGCGAATGAATAAAGCTGATATTTGATCATTGCGCAATAATAGCATGCATACATCATTATAAAACGCAGAAAAACCTACATAATCCCCGTAATGGACAGTGCATGTCTAATTGTATTAATCCACCGCGAGGAATATTTTACTCTTTTTTCCCCCTTCATCTCACTCCAGAGCTGCGAGCAAGAGCAGCGGCTCGCGAGCGACACGCTGGCTGCGTGACGTCTGGCCAATCAGACTGCGCAGATCCGAAAGTTTACCTTTTATGGCTCGAGCCGAGCGGCTGCGCGCCTTTAAAAGCATCCAGCAACCGGAGTGCCGGTCACTCGGAGCGGCTTCACACACGCAGCTGGTGCGGAATCTGGTATCTGTGACAACATCTTTTAGGTCGAGTTAAAGCCCCACACCCAAGGTAAGTTCAGCAATGGGTTTTTTTTTCTCTGTATAGTTTCCCTTGCTTATTCTCATGCAGTCAGTAAAATTTCGCGGTGTAAAACGTGTTTTTTTTCTCATTAGAAGCAGGTTGACATTGAGGGTCAACATGTGTAATTTTAGCTTAAAAGGACTGAAATGTGACTTGAGTGGGAATTGTGTTTTCTGTACATGTGAAAGGCTACGCTTTACGCCGCCAGCTTTTCTTGGCTGGTATTTTAAGGGTCGCCAGTTTAACTAGTCCCCGGGGTGGCATTGAATTAGTTTAATAGTAGTACAAGGGCAGCATCTAGGTGTGACCTAGTTACTCGATGTCTGGCCGGTTCTTCCGGCTTGGAGGGGGCTCCATGCTTTGCGAGTCAGGTGTTGATGCACTCCCAGGAGTGTAGCTGGATACTCCTTTGGGTGGTGTTGGTCTAGGCGTGGCTGCAGCTTTGCAGTTTCCTCCTTTGGAAACCGTCAGCGTCAGCAGCCCGATGGTAGTCTGACCATCCCGGCGATGGGGTCGTAGCAGGGCGTCCTCTGAGGGGGATGGTTATGCAAGGGCTGGCTTGGTGATCCTTCGCCCCCTCACATCGCGAATCGTGCCCGATCCAGAAATCCGGAGTTAGCGTGCCGTTTGAAACCCACTGCTTAGGGAGTGGCCTTGTCCTGTGTCAATCTGTTCCTTTTCCTGAACTCTGGCTTTGGCAGGCTGCCACGCCGCCGGCACCCGCAGAGCTGCTCTAACCATTGCCTTTTATGGTAATAATGAGGATGAAGCCGGACTTCCTTTGTCTGGTGAATAACTTGAGTTGAATCGTTTAGGGAGCAGCGCCACCTAGTGGATGGCATACGGCAACTACAGGAAGAACGTGTCGCCTGCAAGTTTATGTATTCAGAGAAACCAACTGCACTTGATGCCCATGTGGTGCATCTGACTTCCTGTTTAAAAAAAAAAAAAGGAACTACTTATAATACTATTGGCTTCCTTCATTGTGCAGTTCAGCCATGGAAGACGAAATTGCCGCACTGGTTGTTGACAACGGATCCGGTATGTGCAAAGCCGGATTTGCCGGAGATGATGCTCCTCGTGCTGTCTTCCCATCCATCGTCGGTCGCCCAAGACATCAGGTGTGTATGGGTATTTGGTACCTGTCTAATGGCTGTTTTAATGGTCTGTGTAGGGAATGTGATTTAATTTAATTTTTTTATTATTTTAGGGTGTGATGGTTGGAATGGGGCAGAAGGACAGCTATGTTGGTGATGAGGCTCAGAGCAAGAGGGGTATCCTGACCCTGAAGTACCCCATTGAGCATGGCATTGTCACCAACTGGGATGACATGGAGAAGATCTGGCACCACACCTTCTACAACGAGCTGCGTGTGGCCCCCGAGGAACACCCCGTCCTGCTCACAGAGGCACCCCTGAACCCCAAAGCCAACAGGGAGAAGATGACACAGGTCAGTTGATATGAAATTGCCTTGTCTGTCCCTCTTAGTCTTGCCCTTCCATTTCTTTCCATTCATTTTCTTCCACTCTTTTCAGGAACTTTCTCTCAAGACCTGAATTTCACAACTTTTGCAAGAAGCTCAGGTTTTTCTTCTGTCCTGTTTGCAGTTCTCTTGCTGCACTATGGCTCAATTGGTTTTCCATCTGCACTGAACTTACTAATTTGTTGAATGCATCCATACGCATGCACTAACATTAGGTGACTGCTGTACTGTGAGAAGTGCTTATCTGACTGT